GGGAAGGATTCGGGAGCAGAAATGAGGCCGGCGCCTCAACGAGAGCAGCATTTTGGGAAAAAATGACGCCGGCGCGAGAGCAGCATTTTGGGAAAAAATGACGCCGGCGCCTCCGCGAGAGTCGTTTCCCGGGATTTCCCGGGCATCCTGTGTGTAAAAAAACAGTACGCGGAGGGTGCGCGGCTATCACCCGGACGCCATCAGGGGAAGAGGGAGAGTATATTCATATTGAGTAATTGTAGAGGAGGAGGAGGAGGAGGAGGAGGAGGAGGAGGAGGAGGGAGGAGGGAGGAGGAGGAGGAGGGGGAAGAAGAGAGGAGGAGGATGGCCATTCTGGCCCCTGCGGGGGGGGGGGGGCTCCCCACCATCCGCGGAAGGGGGGGCCCGGCCCGAGCGCGCCGCTGCCATTCGCGGCGCGCGTACGACGGACGGATTACAAGCTGGACATCCACAGCATCGGCTACAACTTACCCACATGCCGAGACTATACACGCACAAAGAAGTACTAACAGCTGCAATTCTCAAGAGAACGGGCTATCTCATCCGACACGGAATGCAACCACACCTCAACGGCATCATAACCATCGCTACGATCACCTTCATGATGGCGTCCACAACAGGATGGGATGAGTTGCGTAACATGCAGCATGGGGAATAGCTGCGTAACATGCAGCCCGAGGAACCCAAGTACGACGCCAAGTACGCCACCAAGACCGACACTAGGTGGACAACGGCCGCGCCGCCTACGACGAGTACGACTACGGCCGCGCCGCCTACGACACATACGACTACGACACTAACTGTTCGATAACGACCTGTACTCCTACGACCCGCCAGACAAGGACGGACCGCAGGGCTACGACAACCGCTACAGGGACACGCAAAACGTGGAGCACTACGACTTGGTAGCCGACGAGTCCGACTCTGTCCAGGGGGACTACGAAGAGAGCGTGCCCTCTGAGATGCTACAGCCACCGGCAGATCGACTAGGGCCACCAGACGACCTTCGGGGACCACGCGCTGAACTACAAGGACCACGCATGCAGCTACGAGAGCCACCAGAGAAGCTTCGAGTCCCACATGTCAAGCTACGAAGCCCGCCAGCAGAGCCACGAAAGCCCTAAGCTAAGCTACGAGGACCGCGAGCTGGGCTACGATAAGCAGGGCTACGAGGGCCACCTAGAAAGCGACTTGGGCCACTGCCTGAGCTACGAGGGCAACGACCAAAGCAACTACCGCCACCAGTAAAGCGACCAGGGCCACCAGCTAATTTTCGGGGACCACAAGTAGAACTACGAGGACCACACGCACAGCTGCGAGAGCCACCAGAAGAGCCTCGAGACCCACCTGCCGAGCTACGAGAGCCACCAGCAGAACCACGAGAGCCCAAGCTGTGCTACGAGGACCACAAGCCGAGCTACGAGGACCACAGGGACAGCTACCGGAACCACCAGACGTACCTCAGGTCCCACCTGCTGTGCTACGAAAGCCACCTGCTGAGCCACGAAAGCCATAATCTGAGCAATGAGGACCGCAAGCTGAGCCACGAAGCCACACGCAGGACTACAAACACTACCGGCCGCACCACGAGGACCACCAACTGCGCCACGAGGGCCACGGGCTGAGCTACGAGGACCACGAGCTGAGCTGCCAGAGGCACCAGCTGTGCTACGAGGACCAGTGACACAGCTACGAGAGCTACGAGGGACACCTGCTGAGCGTCTAGGGCCACAGCCAGACCCAAACGGACTACAGGAAGACCTACCTGACCCTTCCGCAGAGGACTGGGACGACAAGCTGAATGGCAAGGATCAGAAGTACAACTCCGTGACCCACCGGCTGAATTACGAGTGCCACAGGCAGAGCTACGAGGGTCGCTACCTGAGCTACGCGGGCCATAAGCGGAACCACGAAAGCCTCCCGCAGAGCTACCAGGGCGACGAGCTGAACTGCAGGGACCACCTGCTGAGCAAGGACCGCCACCAGCTGAGCTATAAGGACCACGTGCTGAGCTAATGGAACCACGCGCTGTGCAACCAGGGACAAAGGCAGGGCTTCGCGCACCACAGGCAGGGCTCCCCGGACCGCCAGCTGAACTACGAGAGCCACGAGGGCCACCTGCTGAGCTACCAGGGCCGCAGCCAGAACGACGCAGACTACAGGGAGAACTACAAGAGCCTCCTGCAGAACTACCAATGCGACGAGCCGAGCTGCGAGGACTGCCAGCTGAGCTACGAAGACCACAGGCAGAGCGACCAGAGCTACAAGGGCCACCTGCTGAGCTGCGACGGCCGCAGGCTAGGCTGCAAGGGCCACGCGCAGGGCTACGAGGACCACGGGCTGAGCTGCAGGGGCCACACGCTGAGCAGCGAGAACCTCGAGCAGCATTACGACAGTCCCCAGCTGACCTGAATGAGCCACGAGCGGAGCCTCGAGAGCTTCCAGCCCAGCTACGAGGACCACCTGCTGAGCCTCGAGGGCAGCAGCCAGAGCTACGAGGGCCGCAAGGAAAGCTCCGAGAGCCACCATCTGCGCTACGCGTGCTACCAGCGGGGCGACGATGGCCACAGGCTGAGCTACGAGATTCAACAGCGGAGCACCGACGAAAACCTCCAGCGGAGCAACTGGGGCCACCAGCTGAACAGCGAGGACCACAAGCTGGGCTACCAGGGCTGCGTGCAGAGCTACGAGGACCTCCAGCGAAGCTACGAGGACCTCCTGCTGAGCTCGAGTGGGCCGTCCACGACTGGTTCTACGGTCGGAACCACAGGCTTTGGCTCAAGAGCTACGGCTTGCAGGGGGAACACATGGGAACACATCTCCAGCAACCACTGGAGCAGCAGAGGCAACACGTGAATATCAAAATGAGCACGGCCCCAAATCCAGAACATCAACGAGGTGATCTGGGACATGGCTGTCGAGAAGCTCGGCGACGACGGGACGGAAGGGTATCGCCGCACTCGGGGGCCAAAGGAGACAGAGCGATCGACCACGATAATGAGGTGATACTGTCGAGGCGAAGCTCGGCAAGAAACACGTCGACTGCGTTGTAATACAGATCGACGCCCTGCTGACTACGGTCCAGCGGGAGGACGGCCGAGGTCCACGGTAGGCAGAACTACAATTAGGTCGGGCATGTCTTCCTACAGGCGGTTTTTTGACGAAAAATTATAGATACCCAACAAGAATTCAAAAATGACACCCGAGGACAAAAAAAACAATCAGGGCTATAGGGCTAGGGGGCTATAGGGCTATTGAGCTATAGGGCTATAGAGCTATAGGGCTATAGAGTTGTAGGGCTACAGGGCTATAGGGCTATAGGGCCGTAGGGCACCCCTGGGCACCCCTGGGCACCCCTGGGCACGCCTGGGCATCCAGGCACCCGGGCACCCGGGCACCCGGGCCCCCCGGGCCCCCCCCGGCACCCGGGCGTGCAGCGAAAATCGGCGGCCAACCTCACCACCGGGCACCCCTGGGCACCCTGGCACCCGGGCGTGCAGAGAAAATCGGCGGCAAACCTAACCTAACCATATGAATCCGCAAGGACCCCTACAGAGGCAAGCTTTGATTGTTGAGTAAGCAAACATACTCGAAACATCCTCCCCAAACTATGTTTTCGTTTGTGATCTTTTTGAATATTCCTCCTGTGGAGGGACATGCCCGACTTAAAACTACAATCCGGCCGAAGCCGCAAAGGTGAAGCCACCTGTGCAGCACGCTATCCGCAGAACACCAAGGGCCCACACAGCACTACGCCTGTGACACGATTGCCACGCCTGCATCGAGCACACCACGAGCGGCAGGGCCGCTCCTCCCCCTTCCCCTCCTGCTCTTGGGCTTCAGGAGGGAGGGGATGATAGCAAGGTGGCCTCCCTCCTCCTCCTCCTCCTCCTCCTCCTCCTCCTCGTCATTCTCCTCGTCGTCCTCCTACTCCTCCTCCTCCTCCTCCTTCCTCCTCCTCCTCTCCTCCTCCCCCTCCCCTCCCCCCCTCCTCCTCCTCCTCCTCCTCCTCCTCCTCCTCCTCCTCCTCCTCCTCCTTGCTCCTGCCCCTGCTCCTCCTTCTCCTCCTCCTCCTCCTCGTCCTCCTCCTCCTCTTTCTCCTCCTCCCCCTTCCCCTCCTCCGGAAGGGGCCGGCCCCCGCGCGGCCGCTGGCGCGTGCGCGCCAACGTGCGGCAGCGCAGTGGGCGGAGTGGGACGGCAGACGCCCGTGCGAGAGAGAGGAGAAGGACGAGGAGCAGGCCGGCAGAAGAGGAGTAGGAGGAGGACCAGTGTCAACCCACGGCTCATCAATGATGTTGGAAGAAACCCTCCTTCCAAGCTCCCTCGTCATGCGCCCCCACAGGGACTGGTAAATGCCCCGGTGGGAGACAAAAGACCCTGCAGCGCGCCAAAACACCATCTTCGGGACTTCAACGACATAATCATATTACTGTTGCGTCTTGGCGGTTGAACCGTTGCACAAAACCATGTCTGGGACTTCAGCATCGCGAACCGACAGAACTGTTGCGCCCGAAGAACCGTGAATCTTTCCAACACACCATTGCTAGTGTGTTACCCACGCGGTCCCGTGATATTCTTGCAAATGTTTAAAATTGATGTGCGCGGCTCTAATGCAAGAGCCACATTTTGAAAACGAGGCGCCTTCCATCTGTGAAGCTCTCGCAATTTTGTGAAGCGAATGTGCGCGGCGCTACAGCGAGAACAACATGTCGAAACTGGCCTGCCCTCAATCCACGAAGCTCTTGCGTTCTGTCAAAACGAGTGGGCTCGGCGCTGAGGCGAGCGTCACGTTTTGCAGTCGACCCGACTTCCAAGCTTCAAGATCATCATGGCAAGGGCATCCCAAGCGAAACACCCGACCCGCCCTTCCAAGTGGCATCGGGGTGCGACAGGGAGGTACTACCTAGAATAAGGAGAGCGAATGGATCATGGAGGAGAAAGGGTCGAACATGCCCAAAGGGGAGGAGGACGGAGCAGGATGGAGGATGAAGAAGAGGACTGGGAGGAAGAGCCAGCATCCCAGGGGGCGGTCCGTCCTGCCTTAGGCCGTGCCCGACGCGCCCTCTGAGCCGCTCAGGGCCTCGGCGTCGCGGTGCAGCAAGTCGGGCGAGCCGACGATGGGCGTGAACGGGTTCACGTCGTAGCTCACCTCAATGGACTCGTGGCCGCTCGGGATGAGGAGTCGGGGAACACGGCTCCGTCCGACTGCAACATGTCCAGAGACTCTGGGTCGCGATCCGCCGCAACAGCAGCGACAGCGGGGAAGTGCTCAGCGGCGCAAAGCGTGTAGAGGAGGATGGGGTCTTGACAGTCCACGTCCATGTAGCCAGGATCGACAGTAGGTCCACTCCATGATCGGCAGCAGGATTGGGAGGAGGAGGAGGAGGAGGAGGAGGAGGAGGGAGGACAAGTGCAAACCCAAGACTCATCAACGATGTTGTGATACAACCTCCCTCCAAACTCCCTCTTCAAGAGGCCCTTACAAAATTCAGCTCCGCTGGGGGGACAAGACCCATTGGAAGACAACCGTGTGAAAACCCTGAAGCGCGTCAAAAAACCAGATCACGACCTCAACGCCATGAATCAGCCTGACTGTTCCGCCTTGGTGGTCTGAATCGTGCCAGAACATCCCTCGGAGTTCACCACCGCGAATCAACGTGACTGTTGCGCCTGACAGACCTGAATCGTTCCCAAACGCCGCTTCTGCTACGCTATATATAGGAGCCCGTCGAACTCTTGCAAATTATTGAAATGAATGTGCGCGGCGCTAAAGCGAGAATGACACATTGAAAAGGCGCCGCCCTCTATCCGTGAAGTCCTTTTCAAATTGGTTGAACGAGTGCGCGTGGCACTCAAGCGAGAACCACATGTTGAAAACGACCCGCCCTCAATCCGTGAAGCTTTCGCACATGTTTGAAACGAAGGTGTGCGGCGCTGAGGCGAGAGCCACATTTTGAAAACCACCCGCGCTCCATCTGTGGAGCTGCTGCCAGCTTCTAAGATTCAGGCTCATTATTGGTAAGGAAGTCTCAGGCGCAATGCCCGGGCCGCCCTTCCGACTGGCCTCGGGGTGGAACAGGTAGGAATCACCCAGCAGGCGGAGAAATGAAAGACCAGTGCAGATCAAAGACCCATCAACGATACTCCAATAAACCCTCCTCCCAAGCCCGTCCTCATATGCAACTACACGGATTCTTTTTTACTGATGGGAAGGATTCGTTCGAACAGCCGTTTGAAAAGCGTGCCAAAACACAATTGCTGAGATTCCAGCGCCGCGCATCACCGTTAATGTTGCTTTTTGGCGATCTTGAACCGTACCAGAACACCGTTCTTGGGACTTCAACACCGCGAATCAGAATGACGGTTGTGCCCTGACGCTCCGACTTCGTGCCAAAACACCATTCCTGGACATTTGACCATGCAAATCCTTGAAACGCTTGCAAACTCTTAAGACGAATCGTCCCGGCGCTGAAACGGGAACCACATTTGAACGCAGGCCGCCCTCTACCCGTGAAGCTCTTGCAAGCGTTGGAGACGAATGTGCGCGGCGCTGAGGCGAGAACGCCATCTTGGAAAGAAGCCGCCCTCCAGACGTGGAATGCCTGCAAACTGTGAAGACGAAGGTTGGCGGCGCTAAGGCGAGACCCACATGTTGAAAACAGGCCGCCCTTCATCCGTGAAGCCCGTGCGAATTCCGAGAACGACAGTGCGCGGCGCAAGAAACACATTTTGCAAGCGGGCCGCCCTCGATCCGTGAAGCTCTTGCAACTCTCCGCGGAGGGGGGGAGGAGGAGGAGGAGGAGGAGAAGAAGGGGGAGGAGGAAGAGGAAGGAGCCTGGAGGGGGGAGGATCGAGGATGGAAGATGATGGTCCGTCCTGCTCCTCCTCCGCCTCGCCCCGCCTCTCCTCGACTTGATGTCCCTATTTCTGTTTTTCTGTTCCCTGCTGCTGCATATTCTGGCTGCTGCAGGGCCTGCTCCTCCTGCTCCTCCTGCAGATTCCCTGTTCTCATTCTCCTCCTCCTCCTCCTCCTTCTCATCCAGCTCCGTTCCCTCCTCCTCTTCCGGCTCATCCTCTTCCTGCACCTCACACAGTATATCCTCCTTCTCCCCCCCCTTCTCCTCCAGCTCCTTCTCGTCATCCTGATCCCCTGCTCCTCCTGCCTCTTCTGATGCTCCCTCTGCCCCTCCTCACGCTTCTTAGAGGGGAGGGTGGGGAGGATGAAGGAAGCGCAGCGCTCCGCGAGCGCCGCCTCTGCGGGCGCCCGCCCGGCACCCCTTGAGCGCTGGCCGCGCCGCTTCGCCCAAGCCTCTGGAGGGCCACGCGGGTCACATGAACTCGCCGTTCTCCGCGCCGACGTGGAATGATGGGCCTGTTTTGCACCACCACCACCATCATAAGTTGGAGGGGGAGGGGGTCCTCCTCCTCCTCCTCGTCCTCCTCCTCCTCCTCGTCCTCCTCCTCCTTCCCCCCTCCAACTTATGGTGGTGGTGGAAAGCAAGCCCATCATGGAAGCTGGAGCACCAGCCTGTCCACCTCGATAACCAGTTCGGCGCACCGCCAACGCACCGCAGATCGACGCCCCCGGCGCCCTTCGTCTTCACGGCGGCTGGGCGGTGTGCGTGGTATGGGGAAGAGGAGGAGGAGCGCCAGCCCGTCTGCCTCGATAACTAGTTTGGCGCACCGTCAGCCCACCACAGCGACGCCCCCGCGTCGCCCTTCGTCTTCACGGCGGCCAGGCGGTATTTGCGTGGTGTGGGGAAGAGGAGAAGGAGGGGCAGCTGCAGGAGCAGGGAAGATGGGGAGGGAGGACGAGGAGGCGGAGGAGGAGTGAGGGAGGAGAGCGAGGAGGAGGACGGGCAGGACCATGAGGACGAGGAGGGATCGTGAGGGATCGAAGGGAGGGAGACAATCTATCTCTCTCTCTCTCTCCCTCCCTCGCTCGGAAAAAGCAGGATGAGGAGGGAGCGAGTAGTGGAGGGAAGAACGGAGGGAGCGAATCCTGTTCCCACCCTGTGGCAAGGAGGACAAAGCAGGGCCGGCCTGGGACTCATACGGCTACCGTGGCGCCGCCAAGAAGGGAATCGGAGTGCGTGCAATGGGGCATCAGACGATGGCAAGGAAGAAGGTACGGGAGGTACGGCGAGTAATGAGGGGGACGTGGATGTGGGAGCGGGGGACTAGTCAAGTCCGTCCCCGTTGCCAATGCATATGTGCCATCATCATCTTCTTCTCTGCTCTCCGCCTTCGTCAACCACCATCCTCAATACGATTTGGAATAGGGTGCACATGTCGTACAGTTCTGGGGCCACCATTCACCTTGCCGATTCATCTGCCGTCCGGGTACCGAAGGTACTCCTCACACTTGACCACGCAATACGCAAGCACGCAGAATCACGTACAACAGCAACCATCATCGCACACTGTTGCACGCGCACCCACACACGCACACGACGAGCTCCACTAAGACTCGCTTCATTATTACGCGCCCGCACACGGATCCACACCACGTTGGCATGCGACGTCATCCACCGAGCCCGTCGCAGCCCCAGCTAGGACAGTGCTCTAGTTTCATCGCCTATGTCGGGTCTGGCGAAAGGGGGGGATAGCAAAGGGGGGGGGGTGAGAATCAGCTCACGTAACTGATTTTCCCGGCGCCTCCCGGCGCCGGAGGCGGCTATGTATCGAGGAATGGGCCCCTTGGTGAGGCCGAAACCAGCTGCATGCAGCAAATTTCGTAACCTCCCCTTTCCCAATCCCCCCCTTTCGCCCGACCCGACTATGGCGCGCGGCGGCTGGTCCCTGGACTTGTCGCGCGATGGCTCAACCATTCGGCCAAGCCTCAGTCCCTGGTGCCCCCGCCCCTGCCCCTGTGACGAACCTATCCCTGCAGGCCCCTGCGTCCCTGCCCCGTGCAGCGCCGGCCGCTCGCTGCTCAGAACGGTGCTTGGCGGCGCGCACAAGGGGGTGGAGGGAGGGGGGAGGGCTTCTTAGAAGGAGGCTGCTGCTTAGAAGGCGCCGGCCCTACATCTATAGATAAGGCCCGCGCCTTCTAAGAAGCAGGGGTGCTTCTAAGAAGCCCTCCCCCCTCTCCTCACCCCCCTTCTGCGCGTCGCTGAGGTGCTCTCGCAGCAAAGCCAGCCAGTCCAACGCACGGAATGGCCCCTCCCTCCGCAGCTGGCGCCAACGCCCGAGGGGTCGCGCGGTGGGCGCTCTCCCAGGCTCGTCGCCTCGCCGCCCAGCTCGCACCTCGGTGCCGGCCACGCCCCCAGCTTGGCATGGCGCGCGCCCTTGCGCTCGGCGCACTCCTGGCTCGGAGTGACGCTCTCGTCTGTGCGCCAACCGCTCCCCAGAGGGGTCATAGGGGGGTGAGTCCCCAGGCTCCTCGCCTCATTTCCTGGCGACTCTCGCCGGAGTGCCAGCTGCACCACAATTCGGAATGGCCATGCCGCTTCCAGCGCCAACCACTCCCCGAAGGTCCCGCAGCTGTTCGTCTAGGGACTCGCCGGCTCGGCACCTAGAACCTCTGGCATTTCCACCAGGCGTCGCTCGCGAATGGGACTGGTGCTCTCGCCTCAAAACCGGCAGCACTCCGATGTTCCCGGGCGCCAGACGCTCCCTTCACATGCCGGTGCCGCGTAAGCACCAACAGGATCCTCAGCTCGGGATGGTGCTGTACCAGCGGCGCCAGTCGCTGCCAGAGTGCTCGCGCGGTGTATGCTCCTCGTGCTCGCCGCCTCGACGCCGGCAGCCCGGCGCCGACTGCGCCACCAGTCCAGGGCTGTGTTGTCTGGCCTCTGCGCTTGCCACTCCTGAGGGGCATCGCACGGATTGAGGCCCTCAGACTCGTCGCCTGGTGCCGCTCTCCTGAGCATCGCTTAACCGATCCCCATCCCCAGCGGCGTGGCCTGGGACCCACTGGCCGATTTAACCTCTAGGTGGGGATATGGGCCGTCCCCCTTCGAGCTTCGAGGGGTGTATCCCCAACTTCTCGAAGGGAATGGGGATGGGGATGGGGATGGGTAAAATGATACTGATCCCCGGGCAATCGCGGGGTGGGTGGTCCCCCAGACCCATCGCGTGGTCACCCAGTGGCCCTGACCTGACCAGCGCTGGCCACGCTCCAGCTCGGCATGGTCTCCTGCCCTCGGCGCTGCGGTCTGCCGTGGGGGCCCTGCCTTGAGCAGGGGCCGACCGTCCCGGCATTCCTACAGTCCTACCACGAAATGTTCTTAGAACCCAAAAATGTTCTAAGAACAAAAACAAGGTTCTTAGAACACAAACCCGATGTGTTCAAACAAGACAGACTCCGCCAGAAATTTTCTAAGAACATTTCGTGGGAACGTCAAAAGGTTCTTAGAACATTGTTTGGCAGGGCTATAGGCGAGCCAGGACGCTTCGCCACTGCTTGACGTGGGGGCCCTGCAGCAGGCCGGACGCCGAGCCCGTCTCCACGCCACGATGGGAGGCCTGCCTCCCCGCCTGTCGCCCGCCGCACTCCCATCTCAGAGCGGTGCGCTCTCCCTGACGCCGGCCAGGCCCCCAGGTCCCGAGCATATTCTTGGGGTGGAGGGCTCAGGGCGAGATCCAGATGGGCTCTTGCACTCTTGCACCTCGAGAACGGGTCCGTATTGTGATGCATGTCTTGAAGATTCCAGCCTCGAAGACCAATCGAAACGGCATTTTGGATGGGACACACAGAGACGTACTAATACTAGATGTCCTCCTTGGAGGCGCGCGTCCGACCCGAACATCTAGTATACCCATCTTGTAGTATATCGTTTTCCGAGCGGTGTGGCCAGAAAGCGCCCGCCACGACGCATATACTGTAAGATTTCTCGGTGCGCGCGTCGCCCCTGAGGGGGCGACGAACATATATAGTATAAGTATATTGGGGTGACGCCGATTGGACTTCGCCCGTTGCCCCTCCACCCGAAGAAAGTGCTCGGAGGTCGAGCGACTGCCGCTCCCGGAGAGAGAGGTCCCGAGGCGGAGGCCCCGGGGCTCCTCGCCCGACCGCCCTGTGGCTCGGACGACACCCAGGGGTCGGGTTAAGTCGGGCCAGTGCCTTTACAGGGGAGATATAAAACAATTCGATAAAAATAGTCTGGGGACGATTTTCTTGAGCATCTTTGAGCATGTTTGTAATACGTTTGGACTATTTAGAACTGTTCCTCCAAAATAATATAAAAATATTTAGAACTGTCCCTTCACAGGGGAGATATACACGTCGGTCGGAAGAAGTAGGTAGAAGCATGAAGTAGGAAGGCGGATATAGTAGATTGGGTCCAGGTCCTTCCAACAAATAACAAAACACAGCAAAAGCACGTCGATTCTTGAAGTAGGAAGGCGCTTGAAGTAGATTGGGAGCTGGGAATCCAAAAATACCTACTTTCAACGACCGTCTATAAAAATAGTCTGGGGACGATGTTTGAGCATCTTGGAGCATGTTTGTAATATGTTTGGGCTATTTAGAGCTGTTCCTCCAAAATCCGCCTGTAGGGGGACATGCCCGACCTGAGGGTCGGGGGGATGCTCTCGAGCGGCTGCGCGCGCAGCAGGCGCGAGCAGTGTCGAACTCGCGCCGACGGGCAAGGGAGGCGTACGAGGGTACGCATGGCAAACGCCAGAGGCAACAGGGAGCGCTGCACCGCTGGCCCTCCTCCTCCTCCCTCATCCTCCTCCTCCTCCTCCTCCTCCTCCTCTTGCTGGCTCTCCTGGAGTAGTCCTCCGCGTTCACGAAGTGCTCCGGGCGCTTCTCGTACTCCGGGCAGTCCGCGGGAGCGATGCCGATCTGGTGCCCTGGTCTCGGGCGCTCTCCCCTCCTACCGTTCCCTCGTCGGCCTGTTCTGGTACAGTCGGGGCGTTGACCAAAGGAACCCTAAATAAGGAACGAGGCTCCTTTTTCCATAAGTGAAACTTTGATTTCCGATCAAAAACACAAGGAAAACCTGAGGCGAGCTGCGAAACACTTAAGGAACACGGAGCCCCTCCCCAACGAAAAGGGTTCCTTCTTCAGGGCCCCGACTGTATCTCTTATACTTTACGCTGTTGTCGTATATCGTCGTTGTCGTCGTTGTCGTCTTTGGCGTCGTTGTCGACTGTCGTCGGCCACGGCGCCCCCCGCAGGAGGCCATCCGCAGCGCGTCGTCGTCGTTTGTATTGACGACTACGGTGGGCCCGCGCAGCAACTCCCAATCCGTATGTATGGCATGCGCCACCGTACGGCAAGCTGGTGCGTGCTGGAATGGATGACTCTTATCTGGTCGTTCGCATGCTGTTGCCTCCCATGAGGCGGTTCGATCAGGTATGACCTCACGTCCCCGACACGGCCCCAGAGGGCCCAGGAAGCCCAGAAGACGGCCCACGCCCAAGAAGCCCCGGCCCAAGTATTGTTCCGCCGAGCCTTCTTCTGGAGAGCTTGGCAGAACCATCGCGCCCAGGACGGCCTCAAGGCGCCAACTAGGACCCCAAGAGGACCACAAGGAGCCCCCGAGGCAGGCCGCAAGAGGCAACAAAGGGGCTCCTAAGAAGCCTCCGAGAACCTACCAAGAAGCGAGGCAACAGACATGCAAAGTGGCGGCCACGCCGTCAGCTACAATACCGTCGCGCTGCTTCCCAAGCGGCCAAGGGATTGATTTAGGAGCCGGTCCGGGAGATCTCGATAGATATGTCCAGTGCGCATGCCACGCTCGGCTGGCACGGTGGTCGAGTGTGCCAGCACGCTCACATGCACGCATACATCGCCTACCAGAATCGCGCTCTCTCCTTTCCCCTCTCGCTATCTCGCTCTTTCTCTGTGTCTCTCTCCCTCTCTGTCTCTCTCTTTCTCTCTCGCTCGATCTCTCTCTCTCTCTCTCTCTCTCCTCTTTTTTGAAGTATCTCTTTAGTCTCAATCTCTCTCTCTACCCCTCTCTTTCTTGCAGAACGCTGTCCGTCTGCACGGACTAGCAGTAGGATGGCATATGCTCTGAAGTCTCATGTCATCAGATTGAAAATCTGCCACGAGCGCCACCAAAAGCTTGTCCAGCAACTCCGCTGTACTGCATGCAATCCTTGTTAACATGTGCAATGTGTGGCAAGCTGGCGACCTGCCCGTCTGACACACGGCGATTTCCCAGAACTCCCAGAACTCCCGGGTGCTGCCTGAAACAAAGCAATCAAATCGCTG